TTAAAGGAACCCAAGGATTCCACTTGCACTACGTTATCAGGAAGAATATTCCATACTGTAACTATACATGCTGCGTAAAGAAGAAGTACCTTGACACTACAGTGCTTTATTCTACAGAGCTATTAAATTACAATATAGTCTGTGGTGTTTCCAGTATGAAAAAAAGGAACTTACCATTTCACTCTATTGGCAAAAATAAATGGCCAGCACCTAGTTTGGCTTCACAGACCTAAAATAAAATAAAAACATATCAGATATATATAACCCAAAGGAAGAATATCCATCAATGTTCTGGGCCAAGATAAGAGTACGAAAGTTTTCCACATTCAAACAAAAGAAAACAGACTTCTGTCTGAAAAATAAGAACAGGACAGTATGGAAATGAATAGTCAATATGAGCTGGTAGGTGTTAGCCAGCATAAGATAAACACTGAACTCTCTCATAAAAACTAATATAATGCTGGGTTGCAGACCATATTTTGTCTCACTCCTCAGTGCACTCTTGCAGCTCAGCACACAGCAGTAAATAGCAGCTTAAGTGATTTTATAGGGACAAAGAGATGACAACAAGCACAACAGTCCTACCAAAAAAATGTTCTTTTAGTCAGTCAGTTACTGGAAATATTGCCAAACTAAACCTCCACCAAAATATAACAGGCTGTGAAGTTAAAAGAAATGTACAAGTACACAGGCAATATGACATAAGCCATATTAATTAGCAGAGTTAGCTTGCTAATATCGCAACAGTTGTTGAATGTGCAACCTTAAAACTAGCGGCACAACACTTTTCATTTGGTCCGTGCAACATTAAACCCATAAAAAGGACATATATCAGTTTATTAGGTTAAGTTTGGTCATGGCGCACAAGCTGGACCATGTCGGCTAAAGTTACATTAGTTAAAGCAAATGTTTCGGTAAAAGAGAAAAACACACATCATGCCATAAATTTAAAAACGTATTCCAAATTTTGTAGCTACTTTTGTTATAGTTATAACCGATGTTACTCACATTGAAAGCAGATTTCAATGGAGACGATTAGTAAATGTCCAAGCAACGTGAGCTTGTCTTTAACCGCCAATTCCCCATAATGCACCTCGATAGCAGTCACGTGAAGCAATTTTGAACCCTGCAGTGCTCAACTTCACCACATTGTCAAGTTCACATAAGTTTCTGATTTAGCTGGACATGAGTTTTCAAGTTAGCTTTTTTTGATGTAATTGGGACGTTTTTAACTTATAATTCTATGTTATAACAACAACTTCAGTCATCTATTGTCATACTGACATGGAATAATATGTTAAAACAACAAACATCTAGAATTACATTTTACAGTGCAGAGTTGCTGTATGCCCATAACACAGCTACAGGACACCACTTACTCATGCCAGACCTCAGCAGACACACTTGTGGTATAGATTATTATATTGTACATGTAGTAATCCAACTGTACCTTACCAGATGCGTGACTATTAATAATCCCGACTACGTACGTATCTGCGCTGGATATCACCGGTACGCCACACGCCTTGTAGGCGGAACTGCATGTCCGTTATAGCCAAACAGAACTACAGCTAAAAGCGGCCCTGGGGACCAAATTGTTTATCCATTATAAGCGAGTCCGCTATATCCGATGCTTTTTCTGCATGTTCTTAAAGGCGCACGGCCGGGACCAGTGGACCTTGTCTGTTATAGACGATAATCCGTTATAAGCGAGTCCACTATAACGGAATTTTACTGTAATTATTTTGGAATTAATTGGAATGCTAAGACATGATTTTATAGGCTTTATTATATTGATTATGTAGCAATCTCAGCTCTGTTCTCCATATTATGGAAGTATCACGCAGAGGATTACTTCCGAAAAGATGGTTTTTATTCTCTGCTTTCTTGTCTTGCTTTTACTCACAGCACTGACTATGTATACAGGGTTCCATTTTTTCATATATTTTTTATGTATTTTTTAATATATAATATACAAGACTCATTCTGCCACTAACTCAAACAAAATCATGTCATTTTGGTACACCTTACAGATTAACAAAAAAATTTAATCAGATAATGTCAAATATAATGTCAGATGAGGACATATAATTCAACAGATTACATGACATGAATAGTAAGATCGCAGAATTTCGTCCGATGGAACAATCTTTTGGGAATCTGTTCCCACATGTCGGACGTTCTTTGAGACAATGCTAAACTAAGCGAGACAGTTAGCCTGGTCCGGACCAGGTTTGTTCACAGGTATAAATTACCATGGTAATTCAGCAGGGATTCATTTAAGACACGTTGATGGAACGGAACTCTCACTTAAATAAGACTGACTTGTCGAAATAAGTCAGACTTTCCCTTAATCCTGCTTCATGGAATACCCCCCTGTTGTCAGCAAAGAGTCTGTCTTAAACAGTCATTTCCAATTTCTCTGATTAATTGGTATGTGCGCATACTTTTGGTCACAGGGAAGTTTGGAATGCATAACATAAATTTGCATCAGACTGGTGTATAGATGTGCACTGTTCAAGCACAGAATATGACTATAAGATTTCCCTAAACAAGGCAGAAATTGCTTAGGAAAGGCTGTAAGTTGAAAAGGTTTGTAAACACCATTTTAAACACTATTATATTTTATTTGATTTATTATTTATTTGTTGCATTTTATTTGATTTATTATTTATTTGAACTTATTTACACATTTTCTAATGATTCATACAAGATAACTATAATTGAAAATGCTGTAAAGTTCTTTGTAATAATGAATAACAATTAGAAATTGCATAGCAATGAAATGAATGTTGACTGTTGAGTGGTAAATTTACTATATATACTGAAAAAATACAAAACATTTCAAATTTTGGGTTTAGATAATTTGGGATAATATTGAAAGGAAACGGTTTCCTTTATAAGTCTTGTAATTTTCATACTTATTTGTGAAAATATTTGATGTCAGAATATATAAAAAGCAGAAAACATCATATTGAGATTTTAAAAAGAAATTTTCTGGGGACAAAAATGGGCAGTATCATTTTCATGTTTTCTTTCATGTTTGTTATTAAGAAGTGTGAGGATTTACAGAGATCTTTTAGTTCAGAGCAGTCAAACTCAAAATGATTCTGCAATCCCCTTAAAATGTTTTAACTGTATACATGTTAGTCACTGACGTATACTGAGTGAACTTCATTACATTTTACAAGGTGTCAGGACTACTTGTCTCCTCTACGGCCATGTGCAGCACTTGCAGCTGTCACTGAAAACTGTGCCAGGACCACAATTTCTGTAATAAGTTCTGCCTCCTGCACAATCATAGAAGCAGTTGGCCTCTTCTTCATTTGGATATAAACCATCAGGTTTGCCAGCACAAAAGCCAGTTCCTGGCTCGTGGGTTGTTGTTGTGGTGGTGGTTGTGCTAGTAGTGGTTCTGATTGTTGTCATTCCAGGTTTTAAGGTAGTGGTTGGTGGTAAGGGAGGTAGTTCTGCATTTGGAAAAAAAAGCAAGGTGAAGAAATACATTGTTTCATTTGTTGTTTTGATATTTGCATTTTATTTAACCCTTTCATGCATCAAAAGATTTTGTAAACACCATCATATTTCATAAGCAATATGTTGCTTCTTTCAGAAAATATATGAAATAATTCTTGACTGTGCTTTTCCATGGATCTAGTGGTTACCATCTTGTTACATCATGTTTACCTAATGTAACTCTAAAAGTGCAGAAACCATGCATTAAAGGGTTAAATTCATTTTAAAGAGTAAAAAGCACCTATGATTGCTCTGTGTTTCTCATCTTTAGTTTTAAAAATGTTGTACTACTGCTTAAAACAGTCATTTGATTAGAGATTTACCAATGTCAAGAAGTTTGTGTAAGTGGTTCATAAGTGGATAGTTCCCCTGACCACAAAACTGTCCAGCAAAGTCATCCAGGTCCAGGGCCCAAACAAATGCCCCTCCAAAATTGTTTTCCTTCAGATAGTGTACCTAAAAATGGGGCCAGGATTGGAGAAAACCCTTAGCACTTATTCTTAAATACTTGGGGAAAAAATGCAGTGATTTAACTGTTGATTTTTCATCCATTAATCAATTACCTTGATAGCAAAGCTCTCCTGTGTGTCAAATCCCACCCACTCATTTCCTTTGCTGGCATATGGTACCTTCTGATCTGCAATCCATTCAATGGTGGTTCCTTGTAAGAAAGTACATATCTATAGAAAAGTTTTTATATTAGACATAAAAATGCACCTTCAAAGCAACTGAAAACAAAAATTAGAAGACTGATGATATTGTATAAGTCTCAGTTATAATGCCAGTTTCTTGCTTACTTCATAGTAGGACCAGAAGCCAGCTTCACGAGTATAGGGTCCAGCTGAAGCAGGCCCACTAGCTGGAGAACCAACACCATTAGATGGTGATGTCAAACGGAATGTGCGTCCATATGTGGCGAAACCCATCCTGAGTTTCTCTTCAGGGGTACCATTGTCCTTCCAGTAATTCATGGCAAAATCCTATGAGAAAGAAAAAGGAAGAACTGTACTCTTCAAAAATGTCACCATGGATTAATAAAATAATTACAAAATTCTGCAAATATTGAGTGTTTGTTTTCTTACTGTGTTAAAAAAAACTAAATCTCCTGTGTCATGCTTGCCACGGTACAAGGGGCTGTTGTGTCCTGTGAAACTTTCCCAAGTCCCATGGAAGTCATATGTCATCACATTGATGAAGTCCAAGTACCTTGAGATACACAAGTAAAGAATTGGGACAAAAAGGAACAAACAGTAATACACTTCTGTCTTTCACAGCAAAGAATCCAGTATAAGGACAAAAGTATTGGCCATTACACCTACAAGAACACCTACAAGAACTTTTATGACATCCCACTATAAATCCATAGGCATCAATGTGGAGTTGGTCCCCTCTTTACAGCTATAACAGCTGCCATGTTTCTGGGAAAGCTTTCCACAACATTTTGGAGTGTGTTTGTAGGAATTTTTGCCCATTCATCCAGATGAGGTACTGATGTTGTACATGAAGGCCTGGTTCTCAGTCTCCGTTCTAGTTCATCCCAAAATGTTGGTATGGGGTTGAGGTCAGGGCTCTTTTATGGACCTTGCTTTGTGCGCTGGGGCAGTCAGGCTAGAAGAGAAAAAAGCCTTCCCCTAACTGTTCCCATAATGTTTGAACTGTCCAACATGTCTTGGTGTGCTGAAACATTAAGAGTTCCTTCCACTGGAACTAAGGGGCCTAGCCTAACCCCTGAAAAACAACCCCATACCATAATCCTTCCTCTATCAAACTTTACAGCTGACACAATGCAGTTGTGGCATCCTATGACAGTACAATGCCTGAATTCACTCAGGTCTGCAGAACAAACCATCCTTTCACAAATGTTTGTAAACCTGACTACATGGCTAGGTGCTTGATTTTATACACCTGTGGCAATTGGTCTGAATGAAACACCTGAATTCAGTGGTCTGTGTCAATACCTTTGTCCATATACTGTGTGTGTATGTGTGTTTGTGTGTGTGTGTGGATTATGTTTATATTTCATTGTGGGACCAAATGACCCCTACAAAATAATAAAAACCTATTATTTTGACATTGTCGGGACCATTTCTCACATCCCCACAAAGATTTGAGAATGCAGTCAAAAAACTAAAAATGCCAAAAGTCTTGTATTTTGTTTGGTTATGGTTATAGTTATAGTTAAGGTTAGGGCTGGGTGGGGGTTAAGGTCATCATGTTGGAAGTTTTTCCCATAGAAATGAATGGAGAATCCTCACTAAGATCTAATTACAAACCTGTGTGTGTGCGTGTGTGTGTGTGTTTGTGTATGTGTGTGTATATATGCAGTGAGGTCAATAAGTATTTGATCACCCTGTGATTTTGCAAGTTCTCTTACTTAGAAATCATGGAGGGGTCTACAATTTTCAGCATAGGTGCATTTCCACTGTGAGAGACAGAATCTAAAAAGAAAAATCCGGAAATCACATTGTATGATTTTTGAACAATTTATTTGTGAATTACTGTGTCAAATAAGTATTTGATCACTTGAGTAAAAAAAAAAATAATATTTGGTACAGAAGCCTTTGTTAACAATTACAGAGGTCAAACGGTTCCTGTAGTTCTTCACCAGGTTTGCACACACTGCAGGAGGGATTTTGGCCCACTCCTCCATACAGATCTTCTCTAGATCTGTCAGGTTTCGAGGCTGTCGCTGAGCAACACAGAGTTTCAGTTCCCTCCAAAGATTTTCTATTGGATTTAGGTCTGGAGACTGGCTAGGCCACTCCAGAACCTTGATATGCT